ATTGAAATATTTATTTTACTATCATATAGAATACTTAAATGGAAAAATAGAACTAGGATTAAAATTGTCTGATTAAAATTTGACTTGATTTAGGTACTGCAAGGCAAGATCTTCCGATATTTGAGCTGTGAATTATCAAATCTCTGCTGCATAAATGAGGACATTTTTAAGCCTCCTTCAAAATTTGGAAGCAAAGTAGCCATAACCCCTTCGTGACATTCATGTTTCCCCTCAATTTTTTAGGTACAAAGCGCCACTGTTATAAAATGATAAGGGAAAAAACATTTTAGGCAAATGTATTTCTTAAACAGAACTTCACTGTGCTTCACAATTAATTTCCCCCTAACTTCAAAAATCTTTACACGTATACGAATCAATTTGTGAAACAGTGAAAGAAAAATCAAAACGCCAAAATTAACGGGAGTATCCTTAATTTTAGATCTGCTTTATTGTGTAGTCTTTTGGTTTGTGACACAGAAAAAACGAGCGATATATGGTTTCATTTGTGTCCAAGCTTGTGTTTCACGTGTCGGGTTTGGTAAAATCAAATCCGCAACGCAGCAATAGAGTATGCACACTTTGTCTCTGCTCTCGTGTGGTACCCACAACATGTCTGCTTTTTTCACGCGCATTTTAAAGAGCTGAATCTGTACAATATACGCCACGACCAGCTTTGTTGATTTTATGTTTTGACGCATAAATTGCGCGCTAAAGACCAGCGATTGTCGATACGTCGAAGCCATACAACGGTGCAAAAATATTTTGACAGCTACTTCGCGCGCCCTATTCATGCTGCTGATTTAGTTGAGCGTGCCGAAGTAAACTTCCAAGCATTTGCAAGGCAGCGGTGTGCCCCCCTCCGGTCCCCCCGAAACAGCCACAGTTGCCTGATTTTCGAGTGATTATTTAATTTTTTTAAAACTACAGAAAACAGGAAATGACTGAGAGTTCTACTGTTTTATTTATACAGTTCTTACAGAATTTTAGGAGTAGACCGCACAATTTAAACTTACTTAAAAACGGAGGATTTAATTTAGTTTGATTTGACTTTGCAAGATCGCATCACTATCACGATCAAAACTGAAATTCTGGACGAAAGGAAACGTAAAATTTATGAAATTTGTTGGGAAGCTGAGGGAAGTTTTGATCTTTATGGCTGACTTGAAGAATAACAAAATATAAGTCAGAATGAAAATCCCAAGCTTTTAAAAAAAAAATATATTTTTGCAAAGTTTTGGATTTTCAGTCCATACCAGATTATTCAGACGGATATTAAACTGACAAAAAAAAAAAAAAATCTCCATATTAGAAAATGAAATACCAATCACCGAATTTGAATGCATGGACTAGACATGTACAATTTTGAAACGGAAAAAAAAATGAAATGATCGTGAAAGAAGGGAATACATTTAGAGGCGCGCATTCAAATGATCGCATTTTTTTGGTCTGATCAAAAATTTTTAAATCACTAATGCTCATTCAATATGGCGATGAATTAAATTTTTAAGCTTACAAATTTCTGACGCTGATTTTGAGTCAAAATTACTTCATGGGCAATAAAATATAAATTAGTGTAAAACAAGTCACGGCATGAAAAACTATACGAAATGATTGGTTTATTCGGCTTGGCTAGACTATTTTAAAGTTTGCATACGTGATATAATGATTAAAACTTTCTGGTTACCATTATTTGAATTTTTTTAACGCTAAAAGGCAAGCACCTAGTCGATCTTCAGGGTTATTTTTTTAACGGTAGGCATGTTCTTTTTTATTATATTTAGAGTCTGACAACACGTGGTGGAGGGATGTCATTGGAGGGTTTATCTTCTATTGATATTGGGAAAAATCAATCGTTTAAAATCAATTTGTACCAATAAAGGAACTTGGACTTGTGATATCTCAAGGGAAAACCGTTTAAGCCTGTCTGGAAACACAAGGGCAAAAATAATTGATGTTTTACTCTTAAAAATTTTAACAACTGAGCTATTCATGCACTTTGCGGGGCAACACGGATTATCGGGACAAGTATTTTCAAACGCACCCAGGATTCAGTTAGAGAAATAAATAGGTAATTCATATGTGGGACAGATTTCATTAGACCCTTGAATACGTCACGGATAATTTATATTCGATGATTCCGTTTTTCAAATAGATTTTCGATCAGTGTAAATCCCTTAAAAGGAAGTTGAAGTAGAAAGATTTTCCTGCCTTTTGAGATTCAAATTATCTGGCATGCCCCCGATGCATATTCTACAACTCTCAGCTAAAGAGTTCAGACTCAGATGATTTTAACACCTTTCAGAAGCAAGTTCTTCGCCTACTTTTCGTTTATTTATAATAATTTTAGTTTTATTCTTTCGCCTATTCTCGAACTAATTTAACAGGTAACTCTGTGATAATTGTGTAATTTTTAGTCCTACAAATTTCAATTTATGTAATTTGATCGTTAATTTATTCGTGTATCCTGCAATTTTTTTTTTCGTTCAGTTGTTTATTTTTAAGTTACGTTGTCTTGCAGATACTTTTGCAAAAATTCAAAAATATAGCAACCTGTGAAAACATCCTTTTTAAATTTTGAATAAACGCGCGTCTTCGTGTCTTAAAATTATTTTAGATCGTTCATTTATTTCATTTGTAATTTCCTTTATTTTTTCATTTGTTAATAGTTACGCGAGTTACGCTTATTATACAAGTTTTTTTCCTCTAATTTTTTTTTATTTTTTTATCGGGCACATTTATAATATTGTTCAACTGCGGACAAACCATTTCATTCCTATGGTCTGAATGACTTTTGGTGAATTGGATATAAAACAAAAAAAAAGTTTACATTTGTATTTTTAAAAAAAATAATAATGAAACGAACTCTAAAGGAAAACGTGAACGGTAGAATTAAATGTCGCTCTATTTCACAAAAAAGTTGAAACTCTCTAATTTATGTTTTCCTTGTTTATGGTAAAAAACTGAACATCCGCTTAAGTGCCTCTACATGCATTATGTATTCATGTCATTCTCTGGTCTAGTCTTTTAAGAAGAAAAAGTGTACTAGCACATAAAAAAGTGTGTTCCTAAAATTCTCATATGCGTTCCTCTGCGTTCATACTTACTTTTCCAGTTCTTCGCAATGGCGAAGAAGCCATTATTCAAACATTTTATGATCGAGAGCTGTTTCTAAGTAATAAAGCAAATATTTTAAATTATTTTCTGGTGTATGCGTTTTTTTTTTTATTTCCCTTTCCTTCCTTTCATATTTTTTTCAAATTTTAAGATGAGATTTGATACATTAAATGAAAATTGAATAATGTATATTTCATGTATGGTATTCATTATAATATTGTAATAGAAGTGCAGCAATGATACCGAGAAGTATGGGATGAAGGGTCACTATATTTGAACCTATGCGAGTACAGTTATTGATGTATATATAAAAAATGTAAATACATCTTATGAGACTATGCACATACCCAGTGATATTTTACGATACTCGATAGAAATTTAGAAATAATCTAAGCTGACACCAGCATCTACCCCAAAAATGAGGGGTTAATGCAGGAGCTTTATTCGCTGTCCAATTTTTCAATATTGTTATTTCATATTTATGGACTGGGAAAAACTTCTTTTTTTTTTAGAAATATAAAAAAAAAATGGCAAAAAGCTAATATGTTCATACAAATTTGATATTACAATTATAGCGCGACTTCCATGACACTTTTTTTTTTGTATTTTACACCCCTTTTCTCAAAATGGTCAATGCAAAATTGAATCGACCGGATTGCTTGCTCACGGCTGGGTGTTACTACCAACTTTCGGTACAACTTTTCGGTAAATTCCAACTTTAGACTTCAGGTGTACGCGTTGAAACCTACTGTGGGCTACAAACTTAGGGGGGTCAAGCGGACCAATGTATTCATTTAACCGCGAAGCTTTTTTTCTTTGAAGGTGGCGTAACTACTATTCTGATAGTTCTCACTTCATTGAAGTCCCAAACTTTAAGTTAAAATAGGTTTCATCTAAAATACGATCGTCTCTGACAAAGCGGGTGTGTATCTGTAAACCTGATGATGAATACACGGGAAAATAGAGATAGGGCAAGTCTCAACTTGGACATTTCCAATTAATTGTGGTGGTACCCCAATAAATTAGGTTACTAACCCAAATGTTACGGTACTACCCCAACTTGAGTTGCGGTACTACCAAAATTAAGTGGAAATGTCCATATTGTCCAACAAATTGGGGCAGTGCCACAATTTTAGGGGTCGACCCGTAACACTTTTTTCCCCCGGGACGTTTTAAATGACCATCATATTTAGCGTGAAGAATAATACTGAAAGTTTGGGACCTTAAGATCGCGATCGCACTGTTAGATCTAAGATGTCCAACAAAACGAACAACACGTACTGTCTTAATAAATGCTGCTTTTCTAACCCGAAAACCACGTGGTGATTTGCCTAGTGGGGGTGACCAGTGCTCATGATGAGAAAAAACCCGCGTGAATGGCCAATCGCATCGAGTAACACCAAAAAAAAGGATGCTGATTTAACATTCTGGAATTCTGGATGTAAAGAAGTGTGCGACAACTCACAAAACGCTATAAATTAACCGCCACGGCAGTTACTTTAGCAATGTCAAGATGTAAAACCAATTGCTGTAGAGGTTAATTTAGCATTTCGTGAGTTGTCGCTCACTTACTTACATCCAGAATGTGAAATCTGCATCCACTGAAAAAAAAAAAAACACATTGGATCTAGAGTCCAGACTCTTGAAAACATTGACAAGAAAAAGGACTCTTGATTCAATCAGATTTAAGCTTAAATCAAAAGGAAATCTGCTCAAATTAAGAGGCTTGGTTCTTGATTTAAGCTTAGATCTGATTGAATCAAGAGTATTTTTTCTTGTCGCGATGTTTTTAAAAGTCTGGACTCTAAATCCAATGTGTTTTTTTCCAGTGTCCTTTTCCTCGGTGAAGGAGGTTGAAAGGGGTAGGTAAGACGAGCATTACTCACCTATATTGTGAGCCTGGGTCACCGGCAGGGGCAGTGAACAGCAAGACGAGTTTCTTACAATGGGGTGGTTATTGGCCGGGAGGCGGTTGGAGGGGGGGAGGACCCCCTGGACCCCGGAGGACCTCAACCGAATTTCGAGAGGATCCAACTCTCCGGTGGACGCGGAAAGGTCTTCAGGAAAATATTGCAGACCGAATGAATTTGCAACGGTGGGTTGCAGTACGTCGGCTGCAGGTCTGCGCCTACCATAAGGAGGCTGGTCGCCTTCGGGTTGGATCGCCGTTGTGATGTCTGTCTCGACTACGAGCTCACCATCCGAACACTCCTAGAACACGGGACGATCGAGGTCTACACGAATCTGCGCGAACGCTCGCGCACTTCACTACCACCACCGTCCACTCCCTAGCCCGACCAATCAAAACTACCCCCGGACCAAAATAAAAAAAAACCAACAGCAAAAACAAATTTTAAAAAATATAAAAAACAACAAACAAAGAGGTGGAAAGAACTGTGAAATTCAAAAAATTGTCTTACACATTCTATGAACCCTTAAGAATCGCGTGCACTTCACTGTTGAGGTTATCCTTGTGCTTTGGCCCTGGGGCCATCACCGATGACGTCACTCGCGGCAAGCCGTGCTCTCGCGGGGCATCACACAGTGTCACTTCCAAAATCACACACCACTACGCGAAAATCCATGCGCGCGAGATAAGATAAGAGTTCACTGATAAGGGAGGATTGGATGAGTGATAAGAGCGGACAACGCGGCGGCGAGGGTACACGTAGCACGGCCGTGGTTTAGGTTCGACTGCTGGCGTGCTCGGGACCCGAGGAGGCCGAAACCTGGTTCCGCGGCCGGATTGGCGCGCAGGTCCGGGCGGGGAGGCGCGCGATTGGTGAGCGCGGCGCGGAGGCCCCGCCCCGCGATTACTATGGTAACGAATGGTGTTCGATTTTCGGACGCCCTATCCGACGTCACGGGAAGCGACCGGCTCCAGAGACGGGCGAATCTCGTTGTGAGCGCGGCGGCTCTGCCCAGTGCCCCCGCACCCCTCGTCGCTGCGCTTCGTGCCTGTGCATGTGATTTGTGCTCCGTGCTTGTGCTTGGAACATCCACTGGCAACTCGCTACTCGCGGCTCGCGGCTCCTTCACCGCGCGCTTCGCTTCTTGGACCCGCGGTCGCCAGCTTGTCCGCTTCCTTCTCCGTCAGCCATGACTCAACCCGTATCTCTACGCGTGTAGTTTTTTCCTTCTTTTTTTTCTTCTTCTTCCTCATCTTCAACTTTTTCTTCTTCTTTGCGGGCAGCTTTGTTCTTATTCTTCGCGCTCCGGTTTAAAGTGCATTTGATTTCGCTGTTTCCTTGTCCTTCACGGAGACCCTGCACTATAAAGTGAGATACGTTCACTGTCCCCGCCCCCTTCTTCCAATTTTTGGTACTTCTTATTTTTTTTTATTTTTTTTTTTTTGAAGTTTCATACCTTTTCTTTTTCTTTTTCTTCTTTACGGGCAGTTTTTTCTTCTTCGCGCTCCGGTTAAAAGTGCATTTGATTTCGCTGTTTTCTTGTCCTTTTCAGAGACCCTATTATAAACTGAGCTACGTACACTGTCCCCGCCCCCCCTGCCTTCGATTTTTTTGTACCTCTTATTTTTTTAAAGTTTCATACCTTTTCTAGTTCTTCTTCTGTGCAGCGACTGGCGCCATCTTCGATGGATTTTTGATGTTTTGTTACATTCAGAATGATAGACCCATGCACTTTTCAGTTCTGCCGCATGTCTCGATATTTCTATTTCTTTTGGTTAACTTTTCCTGTCAGGAAATACATCCGCGCGCACAGCGTTTTTTTAATTGCATGTTGCAGTTATCGAACAATTTTGGTGAACTCAACTATCATGTTATTTTTTAGTCACGCTGAAAAAAAAATTCTCTGGCAAAGTTTACTAATTCCTTTTACATGCGATGAGCTAGAATCATTTTATTACTTAAAAAGTTAGCTATTTCGGCACATGGAGGTCTCTGCACAAAATGTTTACCTTAGTAATTCTCATACTCTTTTTTAAAATGTATTTTAACTACCTTACAAAATTCTGTTTGACGTGATTTACATTTTCCTGTTACAGGTTCAATACAAACATAATGATTGGATGAAAACGGTGCACCAATTTGAGCTGGTGTAATTGGTTCAGGTGTCCAAAATAACAGGAACTAGGGGCTTATGGGGCTGCTTCGCAGCCCCTTATTTTTCCTGTACACTTTTCACTTTCACATGTTTTTTTTTTTTATTTATTTTCATTTAATTTTCTGTTTTGTCTTTGAATCGGGTCTAATTATTTTTTTGAGAGAATAAGTATAACAAATGTTTTCAAAAATTGTAATTTTATTTAGTAAACTTTAAACTAAAATTTTGTTTTAATCTTCATACAAAATTATTTTTTAGGTTTTACATTTGTTTTCAAACTAATTTTAAAGAAGATCTTTTTTTATTTTTTAAATACTTTGCTTTTTTTTCGATTAAATTGTTGATTCTTTTTTTGCCATTTCTGTCCTGCTTTTCTTCCTATATTTCCTACAACTTTGCTCTTCTTCTTTCCTCCTTTTGTCTTTTCTTTTTTTGCTTCTTCTTTTTCTTCTTCAGAATTTTAAGTCTTATTAATTTCTCTGAACTGTTTATTTTTAAAATGTTTAAAAACAAAACGGAATAGACAAAGTCCAAATAGTAACTAACAGAGGAGGAAAGATTTAAATGCAGTATCCGGAATGCAGCTGCATTCCGGATGCGTTAAGGGGTGGGAAGGAGGGAGGGACGGACTGAGAAACTGAAAAAAGTACGTTACGTAACGGTAAATATTAAATAAACTTACCTATATATGGATCATTGAACTTTAAAGCAATAAGGCCCATCACCCGGAATATCAATTCGATTTGCAGAGAAAGAGGCAAAAGCAACAGCACTATTATAATTTCTGATATGCTTTATGAAATTTGGAGAATATAAAAATAATGATTTCAAATCGGTATTTGTCCGAATACTCGGTAAAGAAATTAAGCCATTTTGGCAGCAGTTATTAAAATGACCATTGGACATTTCACCCTGATAATGGCGAGCATCACAATGATGACAAATTATATTCATTGAACGGACTGAAAATTTGGTAACAAAATTTTCATCAAAGTTTTGATCATCAATTTTATACTTCCGTAATGAAGAAATGAAACTTTGATTTTCTATATTAATAACAGAGTTAAGTTCTTGCTTAACTAAACGAACATGCGAAGAATTCTGGAAAACGCGACCACGTTTTGGAGGACGACTGCCTCGGTCATTGAAAATTTCACTCATAACAACTGTTAAATTTAAAATTAAAATTAGTAAAAATTATTATTATTTTAACAAAATCATAACTGAAACGTTCAATTTTTAAATTAAAAAAAATAAATCAGAAGAAAAAGGATGAAATGACAATGGAAATTAATAATAAACATAGTTATACACATTGAAAAGAAACAGCGTGAAAAGTTCTGATCGGAAATGAGAAAAAAAACTTGGAGGTTATTGACTTAATGAGGAAAAATTGGCAATAGGAAAAAGATGGAACCAATCATGAAAAACCGTAAAAAAAAAAAAAAAAAAAAAAAAAAAAAAAAAAAAAAACCGCGGGAAAAAAAGAATGTAAGTTGATGGCAGTTGAGTGTTGGAAGTAACCTCACTTAATGATGATTGTTGAACGAAAACAGCTGATAAAAAGACAGCTAACAGTAAAGTAAGATGCGTAGCAACAAAACTTTTCCGAAAAACAAAAAACAAAAAACCCCCACTTCCCCTCATCCAATTTATGAGTTTTTAGGGATTTAAAAATCGGGGACGAACCCCAGAAAATAATTTATAGTTTTCCCGAAGCATTGAGAACAACACCTTTCAAATGAACCAACGCCCCTCGCAATTAGTACAGTGGTTGATTCACAATTTCATTCTATTTTTCAAATTAAAGATTAAGATATCTGGTTGGTATGATCGAGTATTTAAACGGTATTCTATTCCATAGTCTGCTCGGTATCCTACTCAACAACCCGGGGGCTAGTCGCTATTGGAAAGTAACTTTTGGCTTACAAGTATTTTTTCAAAATACTTTTCATTTGCGCCCGTTGATATTTTCAGGCATCAAGAACTGAGCTTTGTTTCCAGCAAAAGCAATAAAACGCTCGTGCAGATATAAAATGAACAGGAATATCAAATTAGGATTGTCAATCTTAGAATTTTCTTTAAATTACGTGAAGCTCTTTTTCCATTTTTCTTCATCCTTCCTCCTCCCTCGAAAAGCCACCTCACTCCCCCTCCCGCCCTCCTTTTGAGGCATTTTTCAGTCACCCCCAGTAAAAAAATAATCTACCGTATAAGCAGGCCCGCCATAAGGGGGGGGGGAGATACTGGGTCCCTGGTTCCGGGGCCTGTGCCTCTGGTGAAAAACCACTACGAATTCACATGTAACCCTTGTCTCAAGGAAAAGTGAAAAATGTACCCTAAAAATTTCGCAAAAGGTGAATACATTTTCAGAAACAAGTTGGGCACTGTAGAATTTTTCTTACTTCTTTAAAGATTTCTATCTGTTTTCAAGATTTTTAGTACATAGATTGATATTTTTAGTAATATGCGTTTCATTTTCTTCCGTCGTTGGATGCTAAGAGTTTCCAGTCTGGGCATCCTCGACTTTAATGACTCAACTTTCTTGCCGTATACGTACGAAAGGGGAGTCCAGGAGGGCTTGGACCCCCCTAGAATTGAAAATAGTATCCTCTGCCCCCCCCCCAAAAAAAAAAATCAGATGTTTTGAATGCAACGATCCGAAAGTATTTTGTGCTAAAAGTAAAAGGAAAAGGCGTGATTATTATTCTGCAGAAACTGATGGAAAATCTCCGTCATGGGAGCTTCAAGATGCGTCTAAGTAGATTTAAAATTTTAAAAATATCCCGGGGGAGGCCCCCAGACCCCCTCCGGGTTGGGGGCCCGGGCCTTAAAACTGGTAGCAGGGCCCGAGATGGGATGTGGCGAGCCTGCGTATAAGGCAGTTACATACTTAAATGCCGAATCAAATATCATTTTCTATAATATAAAATCATAACGCATAACATCTGAGGTGCAAAGCGCCTCGGGGTCGATTGAACTGCGAAGCGGTCAGGGGTCGTAGCCCCAAAGTAATTCAAAATTACTACGCACAATTACCTCAAGATTCTGTGCTTAAAGAAATTGTTAGACTCATTAAATGAAAAGAAATTTCAGCGGAGCGTAGTGAGAAATTGACGATTGCAGGTAAAACTCCACGCTGATAAGTCTTAATGTCATCTCAACAATAACATGCAGAATTATACCTATCGTGTTTCGTCGCTAGGCGTAAGGGCGTAACTCGGTTCCCGCATGAGCCCCAATAGGCATGAATTTACATTTGAAACAGGGCTCATATGGAAATCTAGATGCGACCTTACGTTAGAGGGGCAACGATTTATAGTCTCAGAGAAGGAAAGCCATAAACAATGAGTGGCAACAGCAACATCAATCATTGATGAAAATGGAGAAATACAGGTCAAATTGCAACGTTGCAAATATTTAGCGCTCCGCAATTTTTTTATGAGACCAAACTACTCTTCAAAATTCCTCATGATTTTGTTTCAATGATGATGTCCTCAAGGAAATCAATAAACATAATGCATTAATATTGTCTGTGAATTTCCTTCACCTACTCAAAGATACTTTCTGAAATTTTCAAAGGGATATTTTTGTCGGTTTTCCCGTATTTTCTTTTTCTTTATCTCCAAAAAAACAAACCA